CCGGTAAGTCCAAAATCTACAATTTTGCACTAGTATTGCTTCTAAGATCAAAGTTTAATATGTTTCCTGGGTGAAAGAAAAGGGAATAGTGAGTGACGGTAACAATGGTGATGGGGATGGTGATGGTGACGAAGATAAAAATGATGGTGATGATGGTGACAATGGTGATGGTGACAATGGTGAATCATATTTGCTATCGTGAAAGTTGGATTCACGATAAAGATAAAATTTTTCAATTTCTGATGATAATAGTGATGATAAAGATGATGACGATGATGCTATTGTTGCTTTTTCTTTTTTATATAACGAGGAGGAGGATACCGATGATAATATATTATTAGCTTTATTTTGTAATTGTGATGCTAATGTTGGTATTGTTGATGATGACGATGACGAGGATGATGATGGAGATGTACTTTCATCACTATCATAAACATTAGGTTCACGATAGTGGCAGAATTTTCTTTTTTTATATGATTGTTTTGTTGTTATTGCTGTTCTTTTTCTATGTAATGAGGAGGTGGAGGATGCCGATGCCGATGGTGATATACTTTCATCACTATCATAAACATTAGGTTCACGATAATGGTAGAATTTTCTTTTTTTATATGGTTTTTTTGTTGTTGTTGCTGTTCTTTTCCTATGTAACGAGGAGGGGGAGGATGCCGATGCCGATGCCGATGACGATGGTGATGATGATGATGATGGTGATGTACTTTCATCACTATCATAACCATTAGGTTCACGATAGTGGTAGAATTTTCTTTTTTTATATGATTGTTTTGTTGTTGTTCTTTTTCTATGTAATGAGGAGGGGGCGGATGCCGATGCCGATGGTGACAATAATGATGGTGATGTACTTTCATCACTATAAACATTAGGTTCATGATAATGATAGAATTTTCTTTTTTTATGTAACGAGGAGGGGGAGGATGCCGATGCAGATGGCGATGACGATGACGATGGTGACGATGATGATGATGGTGATGTACTTTCATCACTATCATAAACATTAGGTTCACGATAGTGGTAGAATTTTCTTTTTTTATATGAATTTTTTGTTATTGTTGCTGTTCTTTTCCTATGTAACGAGGCGGGGAAAGATGCCGATGCCGATGACGATGGTGACGATGATAATGATGGTGATGTACTTTCATCACTATCATAAACATTAGGTTCACGATAGTGGTAGAATTTTCTTTTTTTATATGAATTTTTTGTTATTGTTGCTGTTCTTTTCCTATGTAACGAGGCGGGGAAAGATGCCGATGCCGATGACGATGGTGACGATGATAATGATGGTGATGTACTTTCATCACTATCATAAACATTAGGTTCTCGATAATGGTAGAATTTTCTTTTTTTATATGAATTTTTTGTTGTTGTTGCTGTTCTTTTCCTATGTAACGAGGCGGGGAAAGATGCCGATGCCGATGACGATGGTGACGATGGTGATGGTGATGGTGCTGTACTTTCATCACTATCATAAACATTAGGTTCACGATAATGGTAGAATTTTCTTTGTTTATATGAATTTTTTGTTGTTGCTGCTCTTTTCCTATGTAACGAGGCGGGGAAAGATGCCGATGCCGATGACGATGGTGACGATGATGATGGTGATGTACTTCCATCACTATCATAAACCTTAGGTTCACGATAGTGGTAGAATTTTCTTGTTGTTGTTGTTACTGCTTTTCTTGTCTTATCTAGCTCTTTTGATAAAGGCGATGACGATATATTATTCGTATTTGAGGATGCCATGTTGATAATGATCTATAAATTAATAAAAAAATTTTAAGAATCAAAGATAACAAGAATGGAGAGAGAAAGAAGCGGAAGTTAAAGAGGAAGAGTGGGCGAGAGAAAGAGAAAGAAAAACGAGAAAAAACGCGGTTTTTTTCTTCCGAAAATTATGCGTAAAAAAATGTGTACACATATGTCATGAAATAAAGTGGAAAATGTTCAGACGGAACTTTCTCTCTTTTTCCTCTTCCCGTTTTCTCACATACTCGGTTACTAACCTTTCTTTTTGTTTTCAATTTGAAATATGGCAATGTGCTAGATTGAGCGTCGCGTCAATTTAAAAAGATGAATTTAAGTCACATGCATCACGGTTATCTGTTTTTACAATTTTTTAAAATTATGTTTCATATGTTTCATGTAAGTCAAAATTTACACATGGGTAAGACGATATTATCATGCCATGATCGACGCTTGTTTATTTATGCGCTGTGAATTTTATGCGATCGTGGGAATAAGCTTAAGAGCAGAAAAAAAGATAATCGCCGTCCCATTGTTTCATTATTATTATGCAACCATATCGATATCGATAGTGATTGCGGCTCCTAATTTAGATAATAAATTTACATATAGCGGTCGGTTTGCCGTTGTTATGTTACTGCGCTTGCGCTGTCTTGACGATGTCATACTATTCGACATCGATATGACTTGTTCAAAATTATTTGGAAAAATAAATTTATTATTACTCCGCAATCACCAAACCAATTATAATAAAAATACATTTATTTGAAAGATAAAAACATGTATTTTGTTAAAAAAATTTAATAATCAATTTAATCAATAGTATCCATACATCTTCGTTTCATTGATTTTACTAAACACTCTGATGTATCATTTGGAATTAAATTCCATTCCTCCTTCATAAATAATTCTAATCGGTCCAAATTTTTTGGTTTTCTTTTTTCTACGTTTCTTTTGACTATATTTTATCGGTTTTCGATCGAATTTAAGTCCGGGCTACAAGATGGCCAATCAATAACTTTGGGAACATTCGATTCGAGATAAGACTTTGCAAGATGGCTCGTATGTTTTGGATCATTATCCTCCCAGAAGAGTATTAATATCCACAATATTATTTTTTAAAATATCTACATAAAACTCGGCATTCATTGTTCTTCTAAATTAACTTTACCCGCTTTACAAAACCCACCCCACGCAAAAATTTTTCTCCTATCTTTAGGAATTCGACGAACTGGTCTTGGACCCTTATGCCACTGACCAATTATGTTATGGAAGAGTTGGAATGCAGTTTCATCTGTAAAAAAAGGTTTGTTCCAATTTTCGTTCATGTGTTTTTTAGCTCACTCCATCCGTTTCTCTTTATATTGCAAGGTAAGCATTGGCAAAGCATTTGGGACATCATTTTTATAGTCGTGATCCCACAAATGTCTTAAAACAGTCGGTTGAGATACTGTTCCACCTAATTCTGCCACCAAACTTTTTGTTGATATAGAAGGATTTTTTTGGATTTGCCGCCTGATATTTTGTGAAATTTCTCGCGAAATTACCTGTCCCTTTTGACTGTGTTACTTTTCAGTTTTCCCGAGGTTTTTTAGGTTGTAATAGATAGTTGACGTTAGTATTTTTTGTTACTGTATGTATTTTTTTGGCAGAGCGTATACCCCGGTTCCAATAAGATAAGATCATTTGTCGTTGGTCACGGAAGGTGGTAGCAGTCATCTTTATTCTCCTATTCGTCTATTTCTTGTTGAAAATAGTTTCGTTAGGTATAATTAATGTGATGATGTATACAGATTTTTGATTGAAGGTGCAAACAGTCAAGTCACGTTAACAGCTGCTGAAATATTACCATTATAATTTTTGTATAATTGATTAAAATTAGTTTGACTTTGATTTATGCAAAAAAAAAATAATAATTTATTTAAAACCTTTTCTTCGACACTTTATTCAAGACTGGATTATACGAGTATTTTGATAACAGCGGAGATTCGACGAAATGACATAAACTTTCCAGAGGTTAGGCAAAAAATTAAAAATATTTCACTTGTTTATTAAATAAAGAATAAAGAATATATGTTTGTTCTTTATCTTTGTGAATGATGACATTTTTAGCGAACGTAAAAATAGTTGATCGAGTGAATTGAACGGACTGACAAAATGACAGAGACTCTCAAGGATGAAGGAATGAACTGTGCAAACCGCTGCACATGCAGGTAAGCTACACGGGTGTGGAAACAACGCGATCGTCAACTATACATATGCAACCATACATGCTGATCGTTGATATAGCAAACTATACCCATAGTAAGCCAACCCACTGAAACAACATGATCATCAATTGCATATGAACAGCCTACACGCTGATCACTGAACACACTTCACCCAAGCACTGCTGTGTCATGAATGTTAATTCTATGTCTCACTTTTTGATATATAAATACGTAAAAAAGATCAAACTTACAAAATTGTGGGATTCTTTGGTCCGCCAATTAAATGATCGGGATGATAAATCAGCATTACGATAATTCAAGCCTGCACTATGATGATGCGGCACTATGATGTAATAATGAAATACTTTTTGTACATTTTTCTGCAAACCAATCAAATCACAAGATATGAATAATTCTATGTCCAAGGTGAAAACTGCCCTGTTCGACCAGTGTTAGGTGGTAAAAAATCAAACTCCATTTTTACGTTTCCCCGTATCTCAGAGCAGATGGTCCTGTAGACAAACGTTGTATAAAACATCGGGTAAAGCAGTACGTGCCAAGGTTGACTTGAATCTTATGATAATAATTGTGGTTATTGATGGATGATTGCAAGGTTTTGACGTAGGTTTTTTCTGAGCCATTATAAATAATGTATACCGTATTTTACGAAATATAAGTAACATACCCGTATTGGTATTTTAAAAATAGTGCCAAATGTTTGTTCAGCTGTTTCGTTGAAACTCAATTTTAATTGGTTATCGAAAGTTATTGATAAAAAATTTAAAAATTTAACATTAAAAATTAACAATATGTGGATGCTGCTTATATTCCGCAAGGTACGATCTTGACGAGCAAAAAACGTGAATAATTTTGCCGAAAGTATTTCACAACGAACAACCATCACACACGATGGTATTTCAAAGCTTAACAATGATAATAAACCTACATATACAGCCGCTCACCTTCTCACAAAAATAACAACGTTTATCGAAACCTGTGA